GCTGGAAACTCAGACTGATGAATCTTAGCTGCTTGCGGCAGACGGGTTCATTAGCAATAAGAAGTGAAACAGCCCAAGTTGTGCTATTTTATTTTGGTCTTTGTTCTCTTCAAAAGCCAGGCAGCAGTGGATCTGGGCTCTGTATCCTCCAGTACGAATATTTTCCGTATTTGATGCCCAGCCACATCTCAAACCCTGTAAGGACGGCCCCACAGGGCAGCTCGTCAGGATTTAACTCTCGCTCTGGATAGCTTAAATGCCTCTTGATCTGAACGTCCTTTGAGTTTCTGGGGCACATCCTATGTGGCTCTCAAATCCTGACATCTACTGCTAAGGTCGATGTTTAAAGACAGGTAAATGCCAATTTTTAACTAATACTATAGTGGCAAGAACTCAGTTCTGCTTTCCTAGAACGGAATTTCCAAATTCCACATTTTTCCAAAGACAGAGTCAGTTTAAACAGAAAATGTTCCTCACAAACACCAAACCACCAGCTCTAAACTCTTCTTAAACTCTTCTTTCCCCTTGTGCCCTGTGTTAACCACTTCTACTTTATGCTTTTTGCTGCTATACTAGCTGGCCATTTTTCTGTCTGCAGCACCAAACCTGTGAGCCAGGTTGTCATGTGGAACTTCAGTGACGAATCAACCACAACCCTGGCACCGTTACTGCTACCAGACATCACCCACCTCTGCATCGTCCCCCTGCTCCCTCACCTCAGAGTCACAAGCCATATCCTTCCATCCACACCGTCTTTCACTGCTCCGTACAAGTGTGCAGCCGCTTCTAAAAGGCGCTCTGTGACTTGGCCTTACTCTGTCAGCTTCTATAGACATCATTCCTTGCTAGCTATCCTGCCTTGAAGTGTCTGCTGGTCCTCTTCTCCAACTACAATTTTCATGTTCATGCAGACAACACCAGGCCCAAAAATGCCTGCAAAACTTTGTGACAATCCACTTTTGCTGTCGGCTACAGAGTGCCACTATACAATACAAGTCAACTTTTGTTAGGCAAGATTACAGCTCATTTCTTTATAGCCAATTTTTTTTTTCCTTATTTGTTCATTTCTGTCAATCGGGATATGGACTGTCTTGGAACAAAGTGTACCATTTGCCTAGGTAGCTTACACTAGGAGTGCCAGGTGCCAATGCAATACAAACAGTAGTTTTTAGCCCTATCGTACTCCCTTCACCAGCTCTGTTCTCTTGACGGTTCATTTACACATCAGATCTCATAGCTGTCTCATACAAGAAGTCACCAGCAGTTAAATCCTTCTATGGCAGCAGCAAGTCAGAACCTGTTTATTCCCAGCATTTGGCACAAGTCCACACACAGAGCAACGTATTTTCTTGCACCATTCTGAATCTGGCTGTGGCACCAAAAGTTGCTTTGACGGCTGAACCTGACAAATGCAGCTGAGACCCCCCAGACGAACAGGCACATTTGGTGATAGCTAGAACTGGTTGGCTGACAGCTGGCAGGCCAAACCATGGGAGTGCTGAGGAAGCTGGCTTGTTTCAGCTGGAGCATTCAAATAAGGTCTCCTCGGCTATTTCTCACCTAGTGTGTCCTGTCTGTCCAGGCACCCACTCAGCATCTGGGCAGCTGTCCTGTTCTGTCTTCACTCTGTGCTCTATGCTCCGCCTGCAAGACTGAGGAACCACCCTTTCTTGGCCACAACCCTACCTGTGCTGCCGTTCTTATTAGGAGACAGCTAATGAAGAGATGCCTTCTGCACTCAAAGGCAGGGCTACGTTAACTGACTAAGACTTGTGGAAGCAAGACGCATAACAGCCGCTGGTGTGTTCCTGTCAGTTTAACTCAACCCAGGTGAAATGCTGCCTACAAATGTGCCATGCCTGCAATCCAGACAGGACTGTTTACAGACAACTGATGTGAGAGCTTCCAGTTTTCCCTGAAAGGATTTCCAAGTATCTACTACAAAATGCCTTTGAATGTATTTATTTATCCAAATATCCTTTAATGTGGATGCTGCTGCATCCATGAACAGCTTTGGAGGTTTTGCTGGAGCTTTCCCAGCAAGCTACATCAGATGGAGCATTAATAGTGGTGTGGTCAACATGCCAGAAGGACGGGATGCCATCCAGGGGGACCTGGACAAGCTTGAGAAGTGGGCCCGTGTGAACCTCATGAAGTTCAACAAGGCCAAGTGCAGGGCCCTGCACCTGGGTTGGGGCAAACACAGTATCAATACAGGCTGGGGGATGAAGGGATTGCGAGCAGCCCTGCCGAGAAGGACTTGGGGGGACTGGGGGATGAAAAGGTGGACATGAGCCAGCATTGTGCGCTGGCAGCCCAGAAGGCCAGCTGTGTCCTGGGCTGCATCCCCAGCAGCACAGGCACAGGGCAAGGGAGGGGATTCTGCCCCTCTGCTCCCCTCTGGTGAGAGCCCACCAGGAGTCCTGCATCCAGCTCTGGAGCCCTCAGCACAGGACAGACCTGGAGCTGTTGGAGCGGGGCCAGAGGTGGCCACAAAAATGATCCAAGGGCTGGAACCCCTCTGCTGTGAGGAAAGGCTGAGAGAGCTGGGGCTGTTCAGCCTGGAGAAAAGAAGGCTCCAGGGAGACCTTATTGCTGCCTTTCAGTACCTGAAGGGGGGTTATGAGAAAGATGGGGACAGGCTTTTTAGCAGGGCCTGCTGCAATAGGACAAGGGGTAATAGTTTTGAACTAAAAGAGGGTAGATTTAGACTACATAGAAGGAAGAAATTTTTTACAATGAGAGAGGTGAAACCCTGGCACAGGTTGCCCAGAGAGGTGGCAGATGCCGCATCCTTGGAAACATTCCAGGCCAGGTTGGACAGGGCTCTGAGCAACCTGATCCAGTTGAAGATGTCCCTGCTCAGTGCAGGGGGTGGGGTTGGGTTGGATGACCTCTAAAGGTCCCTTCCAACCCCAACTATTCTGTGATTCTATGGTAGTGAACCAAGTTGTCAGAAAGACATAAATTGAAGAATATTTTTTTTTCCTGATTAACTTTGAACTATTTCTATACATGTAACAAGAAGAACCTTATTAACCCACTGAATACCAAGCAACAACAAAGTCTATGAAAGAATTGAATGTGGAAATAATACTTATTGTTGACTAGATCTACTAGTACTGATTTTAGGAAGAATGAAATGAGCTGCTTTTGCTATCTTATCTCTCTCATGCATCACCCCGACTAAGAACATAAAGTAGGCAAAAGAGAATACATGCTTGTGTGTATTTGCAAGAATATATGGGAATGGTCTGCATTCTGAGGTGTACATACTTTAAACCTATTGTGATGGAAGCAAATTCATAAACCACGAGATTCTGAAATAATTGAAATACAGATTTATGAAAGACTTAGTAATTTTAGTGTCTGACGAGATCAGATAAAAGAAATTCAACGTAATTCTGGTAGGCAGACAGCTTAATAAATGCATGCCTGGACCTACCTGAAATATTCCACTTCAAATATTCAAAGAGAGAGATGAGACTCGGAGATACAAAGACAATGATAATGACTACAAAAGAGCTACAGAATGACAGAGATTTAGGTAAGAGGCGGTGGGTTTTTTAAGGTTTGTCACTGTGGTCTCTATTTGAGCCAAGGCTGCACAATAAATCACTTTTGGTTTTGAACCCAGTCTGCAATGATAAAATGTGAAGACAAACTTAGACCCAGACATTAGTATCTGGGTTGAATGTCTGGAAGGGCGGCAGCTTGAGCTACAGTTTAAACCTAACAGTGACTGACCTGACAGGAGAGCAGGCTATTCAAGTAATGCCACCATGCGTAAAATTCATCATGATTTTCAGTTTCAGATGTATTACAGAATCAATACTCTATCCTGTTCTCATAAAAGACCATATTGCAAAACTCCAGGGATGACTCATCTACTAACGTGTATATTTTTCTTGCATTTCAGTCCTCAGCACTGATAAACATTTGCCCAATTCTTTTTCCTTTGGAATATACTGCCTGTACTAGCTGGAAGGGAGAGAGCCTAAGTGCTCTCCTTCTGGTGGAACTTTGAGAAATTCTGCACCTGCAGTTTGTTGAATCTGCTGCATCTCAGTGTATTGCTTATGGCCACATTCAGTCATGATTAACATTCAGGTAGCAACTGCTAATGACTTACTTAAAATACTGTTATGAAATATTTCATATTTTAGAATAAAATTTAGTAGCAGAATAATCAAGAATAGATTCCCAACAGTTTTTCTTCAGACCTTTGCAGGCAGAACTAACAGTATGAGCCATTACTCAGTTTGTGCGTCTCGTGCCTTTGCATGCATCTTGTCAAACAAATACGTAGCAATGGACTCAACCATCCAGACTAACAATCTTTATGAGTCCAGTACGCTTCAAGAGCAGTCTTGTCTTACCAAAAAACTTCAAGAAAACCAGCTGGACCACCTGTGCTACCATGCTCTTCATTGGAAAATAGCTCCTTGGAAGATTCTCATTCTATGAGTTTCAAGAAATACTACATTTT